GAGCTGGAGCCCACTGGAGAGTGAGTATCCACCTGTAGTGTTATATTCACGCACAAGCTTTAAAGGAACCATAAAAATTATCTCCACGAAGAATATTATAAGTTGGGATGTTGTGTCACCTCCTCCCTCCATGCACAGGTACATCCCAGCCATCATGGATCACAGTGGAGGCCTGCCCTGCCATGGTACCTACCTGCTGCACCAGGTACAGGATTGGTGCACATGTTGTTTTCTTATTACTCACACAGTGGTAACTGCTTCCTTTGTACACAGTTGAATATCTTCTTTTAAAGTGTAATGTTGCTCTAGCTGTGCTCACTGTGATCCTGAGCTCCTGTTATATTTGCTGCAGGGGATCCAGCGGAGGATCACAGTGACCCTCATTCACAAGAAGGGCAGCGAGCTCCATTGGAAAGATGTTCGTGAGCTGGTTGTAGGTGAGCAGCCTACCTTTAGGGTTTAGTCGTACTATACCTCTGTGTAGAAAACAAACAAACCCAAAGCACAGAAACAATGTTTTATAGTGTTTGTGTGCTTTTGATAGAGGAAGACAGGACAGAACATCATTAAAGGGATTTGACTTTGTGAGATCACACCGAAAACGCACCACTCGGTTTACTCTGAGATATTTTCAGTCTGGAAAGATGAATCTGTCGGGCTTTAGGCACTAATTTGTATCCATGTGTGCTGTATATTCTGAGCATATGCAGTTATGTGAGCTATCAGGTTTTATGTATCAGGACATAATTTAAAAAATCAGGTCCTTAGTAGGTCTTAATATGAGGTAAATGCAACCTCAGATGAACAACACATTATACCACGTCATTATTTATTTAACAAACACTGAGCCGAAATTCAGATGTTTAAAAAACTAAGTACATCCAAGACTATTTCCATAATTAGTTAAGAGGGTCGGTATCAGCCAAGTGCTAATCAAATGCAATAGATCATCAGTAAGTGTAACCACTACTGTCAGTTTGCTGGTGTGGCGTATTCAGGTAAGTGGTAACATACTGAGGAGGAGAGAAGCAGTTGTTGATACCCATGAATCTGGGAAGGCTTTGAAGTCGATCATTTTACAGCAAGAAAGATTATTTGCATGTATATATGCATGTATATATCTATCTACTTAGCACTTTTAATTCTTATTTTTATTTTTATGTCTATATAAGTGTTATATGACAGTATGTTTGCACTAAGTACCGCAGAAATTTCCTAATGTTGTAAACCTGCTCAACATTTGGCAATAAAACCCTTTCTGATTCTGATTCTGATTCTGCAAGTTAAAAAAATCAAAGACTGTTTCCAATCTTACCACGAGTGGACGTCCCAGAAAATTCACCCCACACATCTGAGGCTCTACAGGCCACACTTAGCATGCTAAATGTTGGAGTTCATGGCAGTGCAATTAGAAAAAGACTCAACAAATATGGCCTGTTTGGAAAGGCTTCCAGGAGAAACCATTTTCCCTCTAAATACAACATGGCAGCATGGGTTAGGTTTGCAAAGTTGAAAAGCTAAACCCTAATGCACAGCTTCAACATTGGTGAAAACCAAACACTGCATATCAGTACAAACACCTCATACCAACGGTTTTGCTCGGGTGATGATTATTTGGGCTTTTTTTGCTGCCAAAAAACCTGCAAAGTGTCCAGGTCACTGAGTGAGCCATGAAGTACTCTAGAGTCAAAGAGATCATCGTTGGGTCAGTGACTCCAGAGCGCAGCAGCAAAGCAACAACACAGTGGTGTTGCAGTGGTTCAAAGTTGAGACTTCAACATGATTGAACGTTAAGAAAGCTTTGAATGAATAAATATCTGCAAACTTCAATGAACCGAAGAACCATTGTAAAGACAAATGGGCCAAAAATCCGTCCACACTGCTGTGAAACACTAATAAAAAATGATTACCTCAAGTTTGTGCTGCTAAAGTTGGTTCCATCAGCTCCTGAATCACAGGTACTCACAGGTCACATGTACTTGGTTATAGTCATTTGTGCATTTTGGGTTGTTTTAAATAAATAATGTGTTGTAATAATCTAGATCCAGAACCTTAAACTGCTTTTTCACGTGTCTGTAAATGAATTTCTTTCTTATCATTGTCCCGATTGGTGTCGGCTGACACT